ATTTTGTGTTCGAATAGGTCTCCACAAGATCGTAATATATCGTCGATAAATACCTTTGGTGTTGGACGCTATGACGTTTTGGTTGTGCTATATTAGCTATATCATCGTCAAACAGTTCTTAAGCAATTCTTTTTTGTTGATGTCTGTTCCGATGGATCTATCGTTAGTGAATTTTAACGGCAATTGTGTCATCTTGTGTTAGAGAGATTCTTGACCGGTAAAGCTTACCCAACGACAGTACAAATTGATCAAATGATCATTCACCGTCTAATCCATAGCTTTACTAATATTGTAAATCTCTTCAAAAATGTCACTGTGATACAATCTGGTGGATTTTCTCTCGTGGAAATTTTGTTATTGTTTCAATTCATGTGTGACTGTTAGACTCGCTATTGGAACATCTTTAAAACGATAATTTACCTGAATTAACCACAACATTATCGGTTATAGTTTTCACCACGTTTGGAAATTTTAATTGCTTTTCTAATACAGCAACGTCATCTATTTTAGCTTCGTTAATAAGACACTTGTTTTATTCAGTTTTTTTAATATTTGTGAGTCTCTAATTCCATTACCTCGTCTAAAGTTCATAAATGTTCTCTGACACGTTGAGCCCCACAATTTAACCTGCCTGTTCTCATCGGGAAAAGAGAGCTAATGTCTAGATAGTTTAAACTTTAGAGTCCATCAACTACTGCGGACACTGGATATGTAATACGACCCCTCAATACCAGTCAGCGTACCTGGTTTAGATTTGTTATTCACTGTGATGACGCTGCTATGTCGTCGTGTTTCTTTAACAGACTCAAGTTTATCTCGGATAATATACGTTGGGCCATCCTGGCCGCCGTCGTGTTTAGCATTAAACTTTATCCTGAAAATATATCGTTTGACGTTTGCAAGATCATTAATAAAGGTTGTCGCTCTTTTGCCATTCATTGTGGCATCAACCCCACCCTTTTCCTCGTGATCTATCTTGAATGTTGACCAAACATGACTAGAACCATGACGGGAGAACTCATATTTGGCCATGTAATTGTAATTCGAATGTTGGAGTTTTTTCTTCTTCTTTGTGTTCTTATCAAAATCAAACCTGGTGATATGGAGCGGTTCAATAGAAGCTAATCTCTCAAATTCCTTTGAAGCTTCTAAAACTCTAATCAGATTTGGTATATTTTTTTGTGAAATATTTAATCTTGGAAATTCTGGCATTACTCCAGCCAAATTAAAATACTATTCTTGCAATTGTTTTGCCGCTGTCCACGATCTCATTACTGTACTAATAACGAGAATACTTTTCTCTAATATAACATAACTGTCTTTAATTAGATGTTATCTAAGTTGTATATGCCAGAAAGAAAAAAAAACCCCAAACAATTGTTGATGGCTGCTGGTTGGATCGATAACAACATGCGTAAATCAGGCCGTAATGATTATTGTGGAATACAACCAGACCTACATACTAGGCTAGGATTGATTCTTGTCACCAAAACAATCAACATTTTTAAGGCCACAATTGCAAAATGGAGGCTTTTGTAGCTGGTAGTGATCACCAAGTTTTTGTCATTAAATAAGTTCGACCTTCGTAGATCGGATTGCAAGATAGCCCCTCCCCCTCCCGGTCAACACAACACATTTCTGTGGGTCTGTGCCCCTTTCCTTTCTTGCTGCCTGGGCAATAAAACATTAAGAAACAGAATACGTTACAGAAGTGTTGAACCCTTACGGATGTGTTTGTGTATGTGTCTGTGTGTGTGTCAGTGTGTGAGTGTGTGTTTTCTATTCAGCTTGCTCACGTAAACCCAACTACAGATGAATAGATACGAACTCTCACAAAGTTATATCGCCACTGTTGATAAGTTTTTGTCATGAAATTAAAAAGTAAGTATGGAGATATTGTAATTTCTGACTCTACCAAATCTGCTTTTTTGTTCTTGCTGCATGTTATCTATCTTGACAAGTTACGACAATGAATATATGGATAAGCTAGTGACAACGGATGTACTACCATCAACTTGTACAAATTTATATCGGCATAAATGATTCATATTTCTCAAGAACTAAGAATGCAAAATGAAAAATACGTTGCAGCAGTAACTTAGAGACTGTCTATTATATTTCTTTCTATATACATTCATTGCATGTTATACATCTGAGCGATTCATAGCAGACATATCTCAAAGTAGTGGCTATAAATAATAGACTGTATACACAGTAACTTATTCGGAAGCCAGGCCTAAAGTCCTTTAAGTCAAATTTTAATTTTGCTGTATTAAAGATACGCCATTGTAGTCTTTATTTCGTTAAAAATTAGTTTTTGAAATTAGTTACCAAGCAAAAGCCTGAATATGTCAATGCGTAACTTGTACGTCGTAATGCGCAATCTTTCAAAAAAGAAAATAATATAGATACTATATAAGACTAATGATATATTAAAAAAAACACATCTACAAACACATTGCATTCGTGTCTTTACATATCATCCTTCATGTTATAATATAATAGAAGAAGCAGACAATAAGTTAGATGTTAATATTCTGTATTCTGCATCATAAAAATGACAATTAAAATTAGGATTACAACATAAGCCAAGTTTTATTGGACAAAATTGTGATGACAGTTTGCGCGCCGCGAAAAATTGTGATGACAGTTTGCGCGCCTCGAGAGAGAGAGAGAGAGAGAGAGAGAGAGAGAGAGAGAGAGAGAGAGAGAGAGAGAGAGAGAGAGAGAGAGAGAGAGAGAGAGAGAGAGAGAGAGAGAGATGGGCATTGATCTTTCCAGGCTTTATGATAAAAACATTTTGTATTATTATATGGCTGTAATTACGGTCATTTTGTACTTTTCTTTCCCTGACTTGTTCAAGAGAATCTCACAAGTAAGTTGCTCCAGACGGATATAGAATATCCCTATATTATAATTTACTTTGCACATGGCTGTACAAATAAATCCAGATATGTGTGTATTGATCCTGAATAGACAAATCATAAAGAGCCGCTAAAACAGTGACTTTGAAGTTGCTTTTAACAGTTCAATAATGATTTCAGAGCTGTCATTTCACAAACTTATTGAAACTTGCCAAAGCATGGTCACCTTAGTATCTCACAGTAATAACGTCTTAGAAAATTCTTCTCACTCAGTTGAGGGGGAGGAGGTGGGCAAAACTGGGCCTAATTCCACATATAATTGAACCAAATTGGTACTCGCTTCTACCTTGCAGGTAAGACATTTGTACCATTATCATCATATAGGGAAGCATTTATCTAATTTTGTGAACTTGAAGCCCGCTTTATACCAGTCAGGAAAATATTTGTTTTAGCTTGAATATGTTTAATTGACCTATTTTGGTCCAGATACGTCGTGAAAGCAGAATGCATTATAAACTATGTCCTACCTCGCGTAACAATCTATTTTTGCTGTTTGGTCTTCTACCTTCAAATTGGTGAAATCAATCTGCCCCACACATCCGAGATTTAACCGCTCCGGCGGCCTAGTGGGTAGAGCATCCGCCTCAGATGCAGAAGTTCGTGGGTTCGATCTCCGGCCGAGTCATACCAAAGACTTTAAAAAATGGTACTAACAGCTGCTTCGCTTGGCGCTCAGCTTTAAGAGGTTAGTATTATGACTGGTCTGCCTGGTGTCAGGATAATGTGACTGGGTGGGACATCATGACACATGTCTGCGGCATTATGCAACAGTGCTAGACATGATTATAAGCTCTCATACTGCAGACATCGTAGCGATATGACTAAAAAATTGTTAAAAGCTACGTTAAAAATCTAGATAGATCTCTCTCTCTTTCACACACACACACACACACACACACATCCGAAATTTTATACCATGACAGAAACTACCAAGGGTGCTACGATTGTAACAAACCTGGGGATGTTTAAATGCAAACCATAAGGGTTAATAACGTAGCTTACTGATATTTTCATTTAGTTTCTTTGGTGCTTAGGAGCTTAGAGTAACCCTAGCATCATAATTAATAGAAATTTCTACTACATCGACAACAAAAAGTGCAAGGACTAATTGAACAAAATGTTAGAGTAGCATCATATAGTAACTGAAATTTATTTTGGAGGGTGAGCTCGGGTGGGGGAAGTATTGTTATAACATCGATCAAAAATCCAACTACTTAAAACTTTCTCAGAAACTGTCGAACAAAGTAATAATAATATATATAACTCACACACAACACTATGTCATAAATTTGTTAATACATGTACATTCCATTGTTACAGTCTAATTAAAATATACATATATTCAAGAATAACTTGATCTGACATGGCCATTACCAGGTCATGCTATTTTTACCTTTTCTTTCACCAATTAAAATTTCATTTAAATTAAGCCTTAAAATACCATAAGAAAAACATTAACTTTTATCGGTTTCTGTCAAAAATCCGTTATATTGAATATTTTGATTCAATACGACTGGCATTCTTTTGGCTTCAATTCCAGATTATTTTTACATCTTCAAAACGTTTTGTTAATCTTAAAAAACTGACAGAAAAATATTAAATGTTAAGAAATTTATTAAATAGGTTTTGTTTGATGAATTATCTTACAATTTTGTTCTGCTTCCACAATGGTAATAGCGCCTTTAAATAAATTTTTAAAGATATTTTAATTTTTGGCCTCAAATTTAAGACAGGTCTGTCTGAACTACATACAGACAGGTGAACCTTTGAAAATAGCAGGATAAGATGGGCATTTAGAATAAAGAGTGGTCTCGACACGAAAATGATGGGTCCGTTAGGCCAAAAAAGTTCAACTTTTACCCTTCTGCTCATGCTCAGGCGAAATAGTCAGTGGAAGACGATGTTTCTAAAACAACTAGGCATTGGATTAACCTAAAATGTCTTAGAACTCGACACATTAGGATGTATTCAGAAATAGCCCCCAAAATGGTTTTCCGACTCGCATTTCAGGCGAAAACGACATAAACCTCCAGGGGTTAATGAGTTATTGAAGAAATACAGATATTACAAAATATAGTTTTACAATAAAGTCATTACAACAATTGTTTCATTGCATCAGCCAATATTGAATAAATGATGCACTTTATTAACAATCATGTATAAGATTATGTTACTTTGCAACCAGATTAGAGCTACTGGAGCCATAGAAGGTATTTCGTTAAAAGCTGCCCTAGAATATAATTACTAATCAGCCGGCTTTCAACCAGCGTCGTGTGCGTGCTTTAGGGATGTGACCTGTTGTCAGTCAACCAGACTTCATTAAACACATTAGTATTGTAGACTGGTAATGGCTAATATTTTGATGACTTCTTATGAAGGAATTAATGTAGCATAACGGCTACTGAGTTCAAACATTCATGTGAATGCTCGAGAAAGTAATGAAATGTTTCCACATATTTTAGCAGCCAGCTGAAGACAGAAAAATAATGATCTCGGTATTGTATTTATTTGCCAGGTCCAAGAAGGTTCATGAAGACCAAGTATTGTTATCTGTTAGTATTGTGGTGTTAGTTTTAGATCTTGAACCTCTATTTTACCTTAAGGCTTTGTCAACTAATTTATTTCGGATGATCCAATGCCAAATTCAGAAACATTTATTGTAGACCAACTGGTTACTGATGTTTATACTGTCCAGAGATGAATTTGTGTAATTTTTTTACGCCGCTGGCGCATCATAGTGTGTGCGTTTAGATCTTGTCTTATGTTAGTACTATGCTAGTAAAATTACTAATTTACAGTGGAATGGTTGAAATTTAGTCGGGCATCGTATAAAGGGGTAATCGAAGATACAATGATCTGTATAAACACTGGAAATGGGAGAAATATAAATTGTATGCCTTATCTCAGTGATTATTATGAAATGTTGCTGTTGTTGTTGTTGGGCTTAACGCCATTTTTCAGCACACGGTAGGCTATTCATTGCGGCCAGTATTAATGGTGGAGGAAGAAACCGGGAAATCACCGGAAAGAACCACCGACCCACGAGAAGCTACTGGCAAGCTTTATCACATATCCACATTCGCCGAATCCTAGACTCGAACTCACGCAGACAGAGGTGAGATGGCTGTGATCCGTAACGGACAGCGTATTATCAAATGTAATTTTCGCATAAATTTATACCTACACAATCTTCAGAATTTGATCTTGTTGAAGTCGCGAAATCATTCATTTGTTTCTATCAGCGACGTATCACTAATCTCAGAAAATTTACCTGTCAGGTACCAGGAAGGTGTACCATGTTTAATTCTATGAGACTGAATATACTATTGACGAAACCTGTATTTGTTAGTTTCATAACTAAAGAATTAAATTTTGTTGAAATATATCAAAACCACCACCACGACCATCATCATCGTCATGATTATCATCACCACTGACACTGCGCCTTCACTATCATCATCATCACCATCATCACCACCACCACCACCACCATCATCCTCGTCGTCGTCGTAGTTGTAGTAGTAGTAATAGTAGTAGAAGTAGTAGTCATCACGTCATCATCGTCATCATTGTCAACGAAAAACAGGAGGATGATGAAGAAGAAGATAATTTTTGGAAACTGGGTATACTGTCTACATTTATACCGACTTAATATGTGGGGCCCCGAGTGGTCTAAAGCGCTGACCGTTACGGATCACTGCCATCTCACCTCTGTCTGCGTGGGTTCGAGTCTAGTATTCGGCGCATGTGATATGCGAGAAAGATTGCCAGTAGCTTCTAGTGGGTCGGTGGTTCTTTCCGGCGATTTCCCCGGTTTCTTCCTCCACCATTAATACTGGCCGCCACGAATAGCCTATAGTGTGCTGAAAAATGGCGTTAAGCCCAACAACAACAACTTAATTTGTTTTGGCAGTATATATGAGATACTTATGCAAGTCAATAGCGTAAGCCAATATATAGCCCATATTTTACGATGTACGCAATTCGACAGAAACCAAGTTTTATAAATAAGAAACAGTTTGCTTGCATAGAGGATCTCACACATAAACTCAGACAGCAATTCAAATTGTATGTAGAATAGAAATTAACAAGAGTAATATTGTGTGAGATTTAATTTTGCCGAGTTTATATTCAGTAATCTTTGGTACCTCAATGTCTTTGAAAATGAAAGAAATATTTCATGCTACAAAGTGAGCACTATAAGAAAGCAAATCTAGATAAGATTTTTTATTTTTAAACATCGGAAAGACTGAATATAGATGATTTTACTTCTGAGTATTTATGTGGATTTTTTGGAGGGGACTAAATATTCGAATTGCTGAATGAGTTCATTTACTGTTTAAAGTTAACAGATGATGCCCTATTTACACTGTATGACTAAAGTGTGAGTGTGTGTGTTAATATATATATATATATATATATATATATATATATATATATATATATATATATATATATATATATATATATATATATATATATATATATATATATATATATATATATATAAGTAGTATTAGAAAACCAGGTTTTCAACTCACTTTGTTTTTTTACCCTCCAAACAAGTATAAATTATAGTCCTAAATTATCCCCCACCCCACCCCCTTTTTTTCCAAAATAAAACAGGGTTTTGACTCACCCTCCCCCCACCTCTTTTTTCCCCCTACTACTACCTGTAAACAGGTATTTTGTAACCAAACAAAACAACAGGTGTTGGAATGTGATAAGCTCTTTACACAGAGGTGACTAATTTGTTAGAACAGCGCATGTGTGGAATACAATTATTCTAAAGACGGCAAACGGGTTTTACCACAAGATAACAGGATGAAAATTAAACTGTGCATTAGAACGTTTCAGTTAACAAGGTGGAAATTAAACTAGCATTAGAATGAAAATGATATTATTTTATATCTCGTTACCAATGATTAATGTTTCAACTGTTGATATTAAAAATATTTCACTATCACGACTATAGATACTAAATTTTACTTTACCACTCACACAGCGACGGGACTCAAACAGATCTTTCATTTCTGGTTTGTTCAGAGGATATTTTTTGTTGATAAAATATACCTTTGACCGATCGAGATCAATTGTGAGTTTAGTATAGTTTTGTTGGCTAATGGGGCTGTGAAAGTTTTTAAATTCCGCTAGCAACTTTTGATACAATTGTTCGAGATAATTGAAATACATGCTGTTATCAGATCTGATGAGCGAAAGTTTTAACTTGTCACATGTTCCATTAAAACATATACCTGATGTTTCATTATTAAATTCAACTGTCAATTGTTTACCGTCCATCATTAGATATTTGATGTTACTATTGTAGCTATTTGTCATTGTCAAATTTTCAAACATTATTTTATAAGTTTAGATAAAATTTCAGTTGGAAAAGATAATGTCGAGTATAGATCTATCATCATAACAATACCCAAGGGCAAATGTATCTACCCCATTTTCACAATAGCGTTTGTCATCAAAATTATACAATCCACGTTTGATAATGACATCTGTTTCGAGTTTATGATGATTAGTTCGAATTGCCATAGCTCTCATAAAACTAACACCACCATCAAGCGCATACCTGTAGTCATCAAATTTCATAAACTTTTTAACAAAATTACG